CTATCCTATCCTATCCTATCCTATCCTATCCTATCCTATCCTATCCTATCCTATCCCATCCCATCCCATCCCATCCCATCCCATCCCATCCCATCCCATCCCATCCCATCCCAACCTATCCTATCCTATCCTATCCTATCCTATCCCATCCCATCCCAACATACCCCATCCCATACTTTCTGAGCATTGTTTGGGGGCAAATAATGCCCTTTGATCACATATGGTTGATCGTTCTGAGAACCATATACCCCCTTGATGCTAATGTCTTCCTTACAGACCTGTCTATCATTTGGCTGAAATATGAGCTATAAGGGTAAGTTCCGTTTCAGGTGTGAAGGGTTGACTTCTGGGCTATAGTTTTAGGGATTCCATCAGTCTTTATCAGACCAATAAGTCTGGTATTTTTAATGATTCTGAGTTTTCTTCCACAATTTCTCCTACACTATCCAGGACCTTCTATTGGGGAGTGGTCAGTTTGTGGGATCTGGGCACTATGTAGTTCTTCTGGTGTCAGGGTGGAGGAGGTTGAGGTTCACCCGATCCATTAGTTCCTTGGACTAATGTTTCCATGCCTCTTTGATTTTCTTGACTTTCCTTTGCTCTGGATGGGGAGAGACCAATCTTAGATGGCTTTTCCTAACTTACAGTTCTCTTCCTTTAAGGACACTACCAGAATAGTCTACCCATCTTAATTAATTAAGATCCTTAATTTAACCACACCTTCAAAGTTCTTTTTACTATATAAGGTAATATTAGTAACAGATTCTGGACAGTAAGAGGCAGCCATTTTTGGAGGGTCATTAGTGAGCCTTAATATAGTGTTTAATACCTCTGAAAGTACCAACATAGTTTTCAGGGCTTTATGAAAAATTTCATAGTATCCCTTATCTCACATCCTCTTCTGAATCTGGCTTAAGTTTCTAGCACCTCCCTATCTATGTATTGTGGCAACCACTTTTGAATTATCATCAGCAAAATTTTACTTGCATATAATATTAATGGCATTGTTAGATAATGTACCCATTCCATTAAGTCGTTTTCTTTTTGAATGGGCAAAACTATGTGTGGTAGTTACATAATCTGTTGTCAACTTAAGACTATTAAGAATGAAGGGGTAGAGTTTAGCCTGTCAATCAGGTCACAGCTTGATGACCTCATTTGGACCCACTAAGGCAATAAATGGCTCACTGTAGGCAGGACACACAGACTCTCCCTGTGCAACATTCCTATTGACAAGACACATGGAGCTCCGCTAGAGTTGTAGAGCTGGAGAAGCCACATGGAGACCCTTGCCAGTGCTGAGATACTTCTCCCACCACTGGAGCCACAAGACTTTCCACCCACTGGCCTATGATCTTTCCTCCTGCATTTGGTGTCATGGTATGTGCTGCGTGAGTCTGAAGAAGAATGTATAGACTGATAACAGACATATGGAGTGATATCAGATTTATGGACTTAACCTGGATTGGGCTGGCATGTTTTCTTACTGTACAATTACTCTCTGACATAAAGTTCTCTACTACACACATATGAGTGTCTCTCTGAATTTGTTTTTCTAGTCTACCCAGATTTACACACTATGGATTTCTTCAAGTTGGTTGGCCAGGGAGCTATCATCCAAATTTCTTGGCATAGACTAGTTAGTGCTTCTAGTTGAAACAAACAATTCCATTAATTTCTGGAGCCTTGTTTTTGGCTAATGCCTTTAGTGCAGTTTGAACTTCTTCTTTCAGTACCATCAGTTCTTGATCATATGGTTTCTCTTGAGATGGTAGTATATCAATCAGTTTTTTGTGATAGCGACCATGTATTCCATCCATCTTCTTTTAATGTTTGCTGCATCATTCTATATTGTGATCAAAGAATCTTTCAAGACTGAAACTTGAAGCTTGACTTTTCTCCTTCAGTACTTTTATCTTGAGTACTTTCTTAAACGGAGTGAGTTCTTCCCTTTTAGTTTCCTAACCTCAGGTCTTTGCGCATTTCATGATAAAGATTTACTTTGTCATCTTGAGCTACCTTTTGAAAATTTCTGTTCAGCACTTTTACTTCCTTTGCTTTAGTTATCTATGTTCAAGAGCAAGTTGCAATCTCTTCTGACATCCGCTTTTTTTGTTTCTTTCCTGTCTTTTTAATGACCTTTTTGCTTTCTTCATGTAGGATGTCTTTGACATCATCCCACAACTCATCTGGTCTTCAATCATTAGTGCTCAATACATCAAATCTGGTCTCAGAATGCCCTCTAAATTCATTGAGGTGCCCTCTAGACGTTGGAAAAGACAAAGAAATAGCTTCCCAATAGGTGCAGCCCTATTGACTCAGTATGTACTTCTGACATCCAGAAATGTAAGAAAATAAATGTTATGTCACTAAAGTTGTGTCAAATTTTATAGCAGTAATAGAAATGTACACTCATACAAGACAATCTGTTGCCAATTTTGTAGATATCGAAGTATTATTAATAAAATGAGTAGCTGTCATTTATTAAGCACTTCCAATATGTTGAGCACTTATTTATGTAATTTTAGAACAATATTGAAGTATTATTGTATTACATTTATTGATGAACTGAGGTTCAGAGAAGCTCAGAAATTTGGGTAAGGTCACAAAAGTAACTATGTTGGAGGTACGTTCCAAACCTAGTCTGTGTCACATCAATGTTGAAATCAACGTTAGGGTTTGTCCTACTACGTGCATTATAATTACATGCACTATAACGTGCACATATGTGATCCCGGGTATAGGGGCAGTGTCGGACTATGCCGACTTGCGCTTATTTGCAAACCTATAGTGAGCAACTTCAAGTTTTTCCACATCAAAGATTCTCCTTTTAGGTACAGGTGGCATCTGTCTCGCTTCCAATTCCACCACACCTTCCTACAGATGCACAACCTCTTCGAATCTTTGGCAGGGACAGCATTCTGGTAAGCACGAACCAAACTGTGCTTATGGACAATCTGTAGTAAATGCTCGAACAACCGAGGGTAATCCGCGCTCGAGGGAAGCCGGGGATAGTCACATCTGGGATCTAGAAAATAAAAAGAGCAAGTGGTCCCCGTAGCAAATGCGAGGACTCCACACTGGATTGGTACCTAACGTGGGAGCAGGTGAATCTCGAAGGCTTATGATGCCTGTGCGGAGTCCAGAGAGCTACGCCGGGAAGCACCCCGGTTATTGCCTTATTATGGGCGGAAGCATGGAAAAGCGGCCACCGAGGGGCCGGCCCGAGGGGAGTACCCCGCGCCCCATACCCAGCACCTCCCCTTGTTTTGGAGGCCCGCGTGGTCCAATCTCATTGGCCGCCGACGAGCCCGTGGCCCGGCCGGAGGCCAAGCAACCGCCGCAGTTGTAGTTCGGAGAGTTTGCTCTCGCGGCGGCTCTGCCTTCTGGCCCAGGCGCCCCCGCGCGCCCTCGGGACTACAACTCCCACAAGGCCGCGCGCGCCGACGTGGGCGTGGCCAGGAGCGGAGGACGCTGGGGGCGGGTCCGTGGGACCAGAACCCGGGGCGCGCAGCTCTCCGAGCCTCACTCGAGCGGCCGAGGGCCTGCGAGGGCGTCTCGAGCCGCCGACAGAAGGACGTCGAGCCCTCTCGCCGCGGAGTCGCTCCCTGTCGGGAACCAACCCCCTCTGGGGTCGCTTGTGCCGCCTGCCGCCCTCCCACCGCGAGGGACGTGGCTGGCCTCGGTGAGGGGACAGGTCAGCATGAGGCAGGGGGTCCGTGCGGCCGGGGCAGGGCAGGGGACGACGGCGGCCTCCGTGCAGTTGCTGCTCGCCTTGCGCTTCTTCCTCGGAGTCGTGGAAGCCCAGGTAAACACGAGGGATGGCCGGAGGAGCGGGGCGGATTGGGGATCCCCATGGCCCAATGGAGCCCCGCACGGTTGGGCGGCGTCGAGGACCAGGGCTGGACCCGAGGGAGCGGAAAAGCGGGGGGTGGCGGGCGATCTGGCGGCGAGACCCAGGAAACAGCTGCTAACCGCTTGCAAGGTGCAAGGATGGCGACACTCAGGGGAAGTAAAGGGGAAGGAAGGTGCTGGCGGGGCCCCGAGGTGGGCATTTTTTCGGACGTTTTAACGGGTCTACGAGTGTGACGGGAGCAAGGACGGGAGGGGAAAAACGGGCCCTGTTGCGCAGAGAGCACAGAATGGTGACACTCTCGCTTTTGCAAGTTGGGAGGCAGGAGGAGAGGTCGAGAGCAGGTGGTAGACCTCTAGGGCGTTGCAAAAGCAGAGCGCCTTGAGAGGGGGTGTGACTTGGCTTCCTGGAACCATTGAACCGGAGATCCCCATGTGTTTTACCCTACTTTCAGCACCCTCTGTCACTCAAGCATGCTTTAGTTGGACCGAACATGTGTTAGGTCTGCTAAGTGGCATCCCCAGGTGAGTAGGAGACCTTGTGCCTTGGCCATTGGGAGGCTCTGGCTGTAGGAGTTTGGAGCGGCTGTCCTCAGAATGCTGGAAATTGGAGGGTGAGCTGACCAGATCCACTGTTAGAGAGAGGGGTTTGTTTTAACTCAGTCAGTTTGGAATAGGCAACCATTTACTGCCTTGTCTGCACCTGCTACAAAGTGGTAAAACTGTTTAGAAGAAGGAGAGGAAAGCATCTCGGGGGCCAGATAAGAAGGGGTGATGCCATTGGAAGCAATTAATGCTCCCTGCTGTGAAAAAATTGAAAGTAACTCTAAGTGTAACATGTAAACGTGTTTATCTGACTTTTTTTTTCATGGTTTTAGGATGTTTTGCACTAAATACCAGACTACCTCTTTAATTTGCGTCCATGTTGATTAGTTTTTAAATGAAAGATTTGTTAAAAGGGACAATTTGGAGGTGAATAATAGTGATCATGTGTAACATATTGTCACTAAATTATACATGTAAAAAGTGTTAAATTGGTATGTTTTGTTATATATACTTTACCAATATTTATCCATGAAAAATAAGAACAAATTTTAGTTTTTCTCCTGAGGAGCATGTTAAAAAATACAGCAGTTCTAGCCCTACATCCAGACTTTTTGATTCAGTGGGACTGGCCTGTAATTCAGAAATCAGCATTTTAATATGCTTGAAAATAATGGCGATATCGTTGTATGGTCTTGAACCATATTTGAAGAAACATTGAAATGGTGGCTATCGGGGCAAATCTAGAGGTATAGAAAATATATTCTTCAAATGTTCTACTTAAAATTAGGTGGTTGTTTTTAAATCAAAGTTACATCTAAGTATTGATTTTTCTGTTTTAATATTTACACCAGACAGTTTTTGTTCTGTTGTACACGCGTTAAGTCAGAACTGACTCGATGGCACTTATACTTTGCCACTGTATTAATGCTTTAGTGGAGCATCTCACGATTTCCAATTTAATAAGGGGAGAGGAGGATCAAGAGCCCAAGGTTGATTTCTATGAAGCCGGTCACTCATGCCTCCACCTTCCAATCTATAGGGTTTATTAGGGAAGTTACAGGTTATAATTCTGGATGAGAAACAGTTGTTTGATCAGGATAGCCTGAAGGCGGCATGCTTGTCTCTCTGCACTTCAGCCCCACACCCCGTGGCCTCTTTCCTGTTCCAGCAAGTGTTAACAAAGTTCTTTCGGTTCCACCAAGTGTCAGGAATACACAGCGAGCCTCCCACCTGAAGGCACTAGACTTTTCTTGTGCCATGGGCTGAAAGCCCCCAGTGCCTTCTCCTGCCAGCACTGTCCCTGCTCCTCACCATTTCTCTAGGGCAGTAGGTCTCAACCATCCCAATGCTGTGACCCTTTCATACAGTTCCTCATGTGGTGCTGACCCCCAACCATAACATTATTTTCATTGCTACTTCATCACTGTCATGTTGCTACTGTTAGGAATCCGGCGACCCCTGTGAAAGGGTTGTTTGATCCCCAAAGAGGTCGCAACCGACAGGTTGAGAACCGCTGCTCTAGTGTCACAGCTTTGTCTTCTGAGTTGAGGAGGTTCCCAGCACATAGATCCTGAGTCCAAAGAAATTGCTCCACTCCTCCTTCATCTTCCTGATCAAAAGATTCCCATATATGCCTCTGGGATGGCTGGTTAAATTTAGTGGAATGGCAAAAACGGAACAGACCCCATTTTATAGTTTTGCACACTTTATTTACATTATTATGGAGCCCTGGTGGTGTAGGGGTTACGAGTTGGGCTGCAATCTGCATGGTTGGCAGTTCAAAACCACCTGCAGCTCCATGGGAGAAAGACTGGATTTTCTAATCCAGTAAACAGTTTGCAGTCTTGCGAACCCACAGCAGGTCACTAGGAGTGAGCATTGACTTCATGGCAGTGAGTTTTATTCACATTATTAACAAGCTATCCAATCCCCTTGATGGACCACAAGCACCTGGCATTTGCATAGTCCTACCCAGTCATTTGGTGGGAGTTCTGAAGGCTGTACAATTAGAAGAGCCATTCTAGTGATGCTCTGTATCACAGTCACCAATGTAGTAATTCGTGGTGGACCAGCCTTCCCACAACCGAATGGGTCCAAGGGTCGGCTGTGTAATTGAAGGGTAAATTAAAGAGACATCAGACAAGATAAAGCATGCAAGGGCTCATGACTTCAGGACCAGGTCCAAGCAGAGAGAGAGAGAGGGAGAGAGAGTGCAGTAATGTAATCTCTTGAGCTGGCATGCAGACTACAGTAACCACATATGTAACAAGAAGGGGTTGTACAAGAGGCACACAGGAGGTCCAACAAGAGGTCCAACAGGAGTGGGGATGAACTAGGAATGTATATGCAATAGGAAGGGGTGGTACTGGAAGCATTCATGTGATAGGAAGGCACATACATAACAAGATGGGAGGGTTCTAGAGTCAAGATCGCAGCCTAACCTTGCTCTCTGAGCTGGCTTAACCTTAGGTGAGCTCTTCTCCAGGGGAACAATCTGTGACCCTTATCAGAAGGGAGTGGGCCCTGCTTAGGGTGGGACAGACAATGGGGTCTGATTGTCTTTGAGGGCAGACAGCCTTTAGGCAGCTAGCCTTCCCGCAGTTGGCCTTCAAGCTTTTAGTAAGCGACCATGTGTTTGCAAGCAGCACCTTAAATTTGGCATTATTTCGGGGGGATGGGAGGCATTGTGGGGAATAATTTTTACATAGGAGAATGTGAGTGGGACGTACCTCCAATTTACGAATGTGAAGGTTCCCTCCCTGGGAGCTTTGGCCTCCCAAACTCCTTAATGAATGAATGTTGAGTTTGTCCACTCTCTTCCGGGTTCTGTTTCTCACAGTAATTTTGTTTTAAATTTCTTCAGCTAACACTACATATGTGTAATTATATGCATAATATATGCTTTCTCCAAATAAATATACATGTATAATTCAATAAAGATATATTCTAAGTAGCATGGTGCAAGATAATCTTGAAAAGTGAATCCTTTGGTTTTTATTTCCAGTGGCACTTTCTAACATAATATTTGGCAATATTTTGGACCATGTTACTATCCAATTTCTAAATTGCCTGTGTCTGTCAACCCAGTGCTCTGAGGAGACAAACATGTTCTTTGAGCTGAAGAATCTTCCATCTAGTTGGAATGTTTTAGTGTCTGCATCCATAAACAAAGTTTAGTTTAGAACAGGCCACCCATTAAGACTACTGCAACTCACAGAGTCCACACCTGGCTTCATATGGTTGGCTTCTGGTCAGTTTGCTGTGGCAATCATCCAATCTAGGTCAAATGGGCACCAGTAGCAAGCTTGAGAGTCGACACACACCTCTCTGTACTTTGGACCATCTAGCGCTTTCCCATACTCCCCTGGAGCTAGTTCATGCCCATAGGCTCAGCATCAGACCCATCTACCTTGCCTTTTCTTTTGTCTGTACTCTCTGTGGACCAGGTCGACATGTGCCATTGCCGAAATGCAGCCCATCTCTTCATTGTTTCTTTCCTATTGAACAAATGAATCCAGGTGGTCACCTGTCTAGCATCTAGGTTGCTCACAGACTCTTTAACTTTCAGTCCTAGAAGAGGGTGTTCTCTGATGGGTATAGAATTTTCCAGCCTAGGCGCATCTATAGGCAAACTGCTTTCTGAAAATGAAAGCAGCCCAACATTCACTTGTTTTCTTCTGGGTACTCTTAATTTTTCCATCAAAGCTCTACATGCGTTTTCAAATGCACACACCATAACACTCAAGATTCTGGGTGGGACTCAGCTGTTCCAAGACATCTTAGTCTGCATTGGTTTAAAACAAAGTATCTGAAATCAGAAAGGAGGAGAATCCAGCTCCTCACCAAACCCAGGCCTATTGCCACAAGGCAGAGGTCAGGCATGCCTCTCTCAGCCATCCTTCTTTGCCCTATTCTGACAGCAACTATTCCTCTCACAATGTTCGACTTCTCTGCTGGGGTTGATAATTCATTGCCATGACCACACAGAACTTACAGACAATACTCAAAATTAAGAGGGTTCACTAGGGAAATTAACAGATCACTACAGTCGGGATACAATCATTGGTTCACTGCAACACCTCTCCTCAGCCAGCAGTGAAATCTTTCTAGCCTCAGCCTCTCAAGCCATGTGGTTCCTTGGCTTCTGGTCTTCATGGACTGGGAAACCCGCCCAGTTTCCTGCCTTACAGTCTCAGAGTCCCAGCACTGCTCATTTGCTCTTCTTGCTTGGCCTCTGGTCTCTGAGACATGGTGTCTGCTGCTGCTTTACTCGAGGCAGGATTTCCAATACTCTGCTGGTGGCTCTTCTTTGATGGTTCTCTCTTCCAACTTCGGAGACAATTCTCTTCTAGCCAGGGGAATGGCAACAAGAACTGACCAATCCCCTTTATTCGTGTTTCACATACTCTGTTCACTGAGTTCCACCCAATAATTTGGCAGGAGTTACAGAAATATAGACAGAAGAGCCCTATTCAGAGATTTCACTTCACCACAGTAACATACTTAAGTATGCCTTACCTTACTTTATTTGCTGAGCCCTGGTAGCGTAGTGGTCATGCTTTCGGCCAGTGGTGTGAAACCACCAGCCATTCTGAGAGAGACAGGGCTTCCTACTGTGTTAACATGTCCAGTCTCGGAAACGCATAGGGGTAGGTCTGCCCTGTCCTATCGGGTTGCTATGAGTTGGCATCAACTTGATGACAGTAAGTTTTTATTGTATTTTACACATCCTTGAGCAGTGATTAAGTAAATGAAGTTGAAAGAGCTTAATGGACTAATCAAGAGAGTGGATTAAGGTGGAGCTCTCATGCAGGGCCTATTATAACCTGCACAGTCTAGCAGCATATGTATTTCTCTGTATTATTTATGTATTATTCTCTGTATTATTTCATTTACGAGGAATAAAACAGAAAGGAAACTCAGAAAATGGAATTAAGCCAATTATTTTACTTCTCTACCATATAATAAATTGGTAGGAGAGAAAAAAATTAAAAACAATGGTACAATATAAAGGGTAGGATTCGATTTTTTTAAAAATCCCTCTATTAACAAGAAATCAAGGTGCTCTGGTAGCAAAACAGCTAATACCTAGATTGCTAACCCAAAGGGCTTCAGTTTGAAGCTACCAGTCATGCTGAGGCAAAAAGACCTGGCCCTGTGCTCCTGTAGAGATAGGAAATCTTATAGAGAAGTTCTGCTGTGTGTTCTAGGCTTGCTGTGAGTCAGGACAGAATCGACAACACACAATCACTACAGAAATCGGTCATTAAATTATATGCAGTCTGACTAGAATTCTCACAGATAAAGTGCCCAGAAGAATAAGCAGGTAACAGTAAGAAAAAAAACACAGACATATAAGGAAACAAGCGTAACATTACAGACAACACACGTAGATTTTGAGATGATGAGAAAGGTGATTTAAAAATCACTGTTCTTTAAAGTAAATTAGGAGGCTAGGTGACGTAGTGGTTACAGATTGGGCTGCTGACCACAAGGTCAGCCACCACCAGCCGCTCCTTAGATGAAAGACAAAGCGGTCAAGAATCCCAGTCCTGGAAATGCCCCCAGTGGTTCTAATCCCTTCTATGGGGCTGCTCGAGTTGGAACCCACCCGAGGGCAGCTAGTTTGGCTTTTTGAGTGCATTCTTTAAGTCTCTTGTGTCCTTTTCATACTATAATTTGTTAAAAAGAACAGTTTGAAAGCATGGAAAGAGAACCAGATAACTTGTACTCTTTATCTGATTTCCCCCAAGTTTTTTTTCCATCGTTTTATTAGGGGCTCATACAACTCTTATCATAATTCATACATACATCAATTGTGTAAAGGACATTTGTACATTACCCTCATCATTCTCAAAACATGCTCTCCACTTAAGCCCCTGGCATCAACTCCTCAATTTCCCCTCCTTCCCCGTTCCCTCCTCCCTCATGAGCCCTTGATAATTTATAAATTATTATTTTGTCATATCTTGCCCGTTTGATGTCTCCGTTCACCCACTTTTCTGTTGTCCGTCCCTAGAGAGGAGGTCACATGTAGACCCCCATGTTTTTATCCTTGGTAATTCTAATGTATAGTGAAGATAATAATGCCTATTTCACAAAGTACATTTAAGGAACAAATCAGATAATATATTAAATGTCTTGGTAAAGTGCCTATCATATATGCTCAATAAATGTCCATATAAAATAAAGATATGAAGTATATACTATTATGATACACTGTGACTTATAGTTTGGTATGGGAAGAGATTGCTTTAACATTCTAATTGTACTTGGAATATATAGATATAGATATATTCGGCAGGGAAGAGAAAATGCAATGTATTTTTTTTAACTAGTAAGCAAGAATGGTACACATCCCATCCTTCAATTTTTAACAATTAATATTAAGTATGATGAAGTGAAATTCTTAATACAGCACTTCTATTCATATCTCTGTAAGTCCCATCAATTTGATCGGGTAGAACTGTGCAAGTAGGGTGAGTGATCATTATAGGGGGTGTGTTAGTCTGGTTGACTAGAGAAACAAATTCTGAGACACTCGTGTGTAAGAGAGAACTTTATATCAAAGAGAAATTGTATACTGAGAAAACCTCCCAGCCCAGTCACATCAAGTCCATAAGTCTGATCTTAGCCCATATGTCCAATACTAGGCCATAAATTCCTCTTTAGACTCACATAGCACATGCAAAGGTGCTGATTGCAGGAAGATCACAGGACGGTGGGGGAGAAGTCTTGTGGACTCACTGGCCTCTCCAAGGCTCTGGCTCCATATGGCCTGTCAACAGGAAGGTGACGCAGAGCAAGAGTGTGTCTTGCCTCCAGGGAGGAAGAGAGGCTGTGACCTGATTGACAGGCTAGACTCCACTCCTTCATTCTATTCATACAAGTTGACATGAAATTATGTAACTACCACAGAGGGTACTGGTCCATTTTGCCGTTCCTCCGGCTATAAGAAAGACATATCCCAGAAGCGGAGAGAAAATTTTTCCAAATCCCATTATCATTAAAACCCATTTTCCACAAACTTTTTGAAGCCCCTTTGTGTATTAATGAGTATTTGTTAAGGTTGCACTATCAATGATTTGCTTATTTTAAGTAATTTTTTCCCCAGGTCACTGGAGTCTTGGATGATTGCTTGTGTGATATCGACAGCATTGATAACTTCAACACCTACAAAATCTTCCCCAAAATAAAAAAATTGCAAGAGCGAGATTATTTTCGTTATTACAAGGTAAGGTTATAATTTTTCTGTTGTGGCATTGACTATTTTTTTTTTTTAATTTTATTATTTGATGTTTTTGAGAATGTACACAGCAAAACACACACCAATTCACCAGATTTTACCAGTATGATTTGATGACAGTGATTTCAGTCTTTGAGCTGGACATCTATCCTCACCCTCCTGTTTTGGGTTGTTCCTCTCTTAGTAATATCAATTCACTGCTCCCTGAGATTCCTGTCGCCTCTTTCAAGTTGCTCTTGTCAACTTGATCTTGTATGGATAAATCTTCAAAGATCACAGTGCTTCAGGCAGGCGTTTTTAATCGTTAAGCTAAACTATTGTTTGATTCCCAGAAGCCTTCCGGGGATATTTTTGGTTGTGCGTAAGCAGTCTCAACGGCTGCTCCCTTTTGTTGTTGTAAATATGTTCATCACATAATTTCAGCCTGTTCAACTCTTTACAGGTAGACGACTTCCTGGCAGCAATTGCAGCAAGCAGCTGTGCAGGCCTGCCCTTAATCAGTGTGACATTTCCATGATAGCTAATAGATTATATATTTATATTCAGTTGGCACATTTTTGTCGCATTTTATACATAGCAAAATACACACCAATTTAACAGGTTCTATAGTACAATTTAGTATCAATAGAAAGAGAGATGTCTGCATAGTTGTTTATAGATGTGACTTTAATGACTTATTTGAAAGCCTGTTTTAATTATATCCTGTATCATTTGAATGTATTCAGTGTTATAGGAAAAATCTGTCAGGTTTTTTGTGAGCAAAGAATCTGAACTCCTTTCCAGGTTTAGGGAATTCTTCACCTGTCGTGTTTGGTTTGGAGGCAGACTACTTCTGCCACAGAAGCAGAACATTCCAGAAACGTAACTCAGGTTCTACTATTTTGTAACCAGACATACCCAGACTTTGAGTTATGCTAATGGCAGTGCCAGATGCTAGCATTGTTCGGGATGCAAAGCTCCACAGCAAAAGCCATGTATTACCTAACCAACTGGGAGGGCTAGCAATCCAGGCACAAGCTACAAGCAGTCCACTGCTCATAGGAATGCAGATTAAGAAAAAAAAAATTCCATTCTAGAACTTTCCAAAATAGCCAGTGTTAGTTTAAAAGCAGCAGCATTGCTGGTCTTTAACTTTCCAGTTTGTCTTTAAGTTTTGTGAGCTATTCCATCTCAATCTTTTCTAATAAGACCTTTGTTTGTTAATCAACTAAAAGTACCCTGCCTAGGATGTCTATATTATTATTTTTCATTTGTAAGATGTGGATAATTCTGACCTAACGGGATTTCATGTAAAGATTAAGTGATATTCACTCATTCAAATATTTAAGTCATTGGTGGGCACTTGTCCCAGAGAAACTTTCCCCTAGGGCTGGTGCCTTGAATTTGGACTTCCAGCATCCTAAAATGTGAGAGAATCAATTTATGTTTGCTAAAAATACCCCTTATGGGGGCTGGTCCCAGCCCCAAATACTAAGTGGATGCCTGCCCCTCCCCTGAGAAGAGTGTATCTCAAACGATGGCACTGAA